ACGAATTCAGATATGAGATGAAATCGGATAGGGATGAAATCATTTAGGAATGAACGAGTTTAAGAGTTTTTAAAAGTTTTAAGAGTTAACAATATATTTTTTTATAAAAATAATAATTAAGTATTATGTTAGAACATAATGATTATCCTAATTATATTCTAGATTTTTTATATTTAAAATGAAATGTTATCTTGTATTTGATTATGTTTATCTGCAGTTAGTTACACGAATTCAAACATGAGAGTTTTATTAAGTTGTACTTATGTATTATTTTCTTGTAGTCTTGAATTTTAAGTAGTATGCATCAATAAACAGTACTTCATGTATAAAAAATGGTTTTTAAGAATTTTTATCAAATGTTTTATAATATAGTGTGTGTGTGTGTATGAATGTCGAATATCGTCATCAAAATTCAAAAACTCGAATTAGTCTATTATGATTATCTTATTGCTCGTCAGTTTATTCAACCTTAGATTTCAACATAAAAATAGAACTCGGCGCAAGTATACACCTCGAACTAATGTCGTCTCGTAACAAGTAATAATGATAAAATACCAAATATCGTTTTCACAGAGATAGCTTGTAAAGTTATTTCAGGAAGTCCAGTTTATAAAAACTAGTTTCAGATGGCTAATCAAGAGATTTGATTTATCTAAAATTGGGAGGTTTGATTAACAACTAAGAAAAATATCAATCTTAAAAAGAAGCACAGGGTGCAACAGTTGATTAAGACATTACACCCCAAGCTAAGGCGTTAGCCCATCATTGCTCGGTTTCTCCTCTCGAAGGATGTAAGGACTGCAAAATAAATAATTGAGATGGAAAAGTAAATTACAGAAAGTAAATTATAGGAAATGGAAATACTGGAATTTAAAGTACTAGAAATTAAATGACTGAAATATAAATGACTGAAAGTAAAGTAGTGGAAATTAAATGACAGAAATGTAAAGGACTGAAATGTAAATGACTGAAATATAAAAACTGAAATATAAATACTGAAATATAAATACTAAAATATAAATTATAAATAACTAAATAATATTAATTAATATTAATCTAGTAATGATGAAAAGAAGGTACTTGATGGGATGAGAGAAAAGACTAATGAAAACCTTGGAAGTTRGRTTTGACTTTTGAAGAAGACTTGCAAGT